CAAATCAGAGTTATCAAAAGGTTAAAGTTAGGCTCTGATCATCACCGACTAATGACCTCAAAAAAAGCCCTGACCGAGACTGCGTAAGTCCGTAAGCAACGACCAACGAATCTCTTCTTCATGCACTTTCATACGAAATGAAGGTCTTCCTAACAATGCATCATTTAGCACTTGTTATTTCAAATAAATGGCACTCATGGCAGTGTGGCGTAGCGGCAACATGTCGAGACTATACACTGTACTACTCGGGTTCGAGTCCCGCCGGGAGTGTTGATGAGACCCAGGCTAGGTCGCAATTACAGACGACTTTTCAGGAAGCAAGGTTAGGTGAAATTCAATGGCATCCTGAAGCATGCACACATCATTATGGGAAAATCCACTATCAAACCTTAATCATTATATGCAATCTCAGGTGGCTAGGTCTCTTGAAAGGTATTCTTCTGCCGATAGGGTTGAAGGCTAAAATGACGAAAGTGCTGTATCATTTGACTCTTCTCTTGAGCGTAATATGAAAGGAAACTGGTTGTCAAGGCATCTCTTAATGTATCGATCACAACTTAAATTTTATTTTGATTAAATTTGTTTCATATGAAGATTGTTAGGAAAATCTAATTACAAGTCTTTTCGCATTAAGTATTGCTTCGAGACTACAAGTAACTCAGTAATATGAGATGTATTCACCCAATTTCGTTTGAGGTGATGAAGGACTGGTAGAAAAAGAATTTTCCCACAATAACATGAGTTGAGCTGACGTTTCCATTGAATTTCACATAGCCTTGCTTTCCCAAAAGTTGATCTCATCCCGGCTGGAGTGGACTGCAGTCTCGACCTCGCATTGGTCTTATTAACACCCTCAGCCGAAGTCGAACCGCGACAGTGCAGGATGGGAGCTTGACACGCTAACCACTCGGCAACACTGCCACGAGCGCCTTTTGGGTCACGGGGCAAATGTGAATTTTCAAGGAAGGCCAGGCCTCTTTTGCCATATCATGTTCTTTGGTGGGATTGTCGATGAAGCAATCGTATGTTTTGCTATAACAATCGACTACTATACTTTATCTTTCACATTAAGTATTGTTTCGAGACTACCAGTAACTCAGTAATATCAGATGTATTCACCCTATTTCGTTTAAGGTGATAAAGGACTTCAGCTCTACTCATATCATTGTGGGAAAATTTCTTCTTCTACCAATCCTTCATCACCTTAAACGAAATTAGGTGAATACATCTCATGATTAAAGGTCGCCAACAGATTCCCCCCGCGCTGCTATTTCAATTACTGTGAGATTGAGTCAACGCAGTCTTTGAGTGTCGGTTGTAGAAATACTTTTTTCATTTGGCCAACTTTATGGGCTTCCTACCAAGTCGTTGGATGTGTCAAGGAAACCAATTTATGAATCGCTTCCAAGCGACTCATCCTCCCAATGGAAACTTAAATGAGTCTTCGAAGCACAACCTTCCATCGCAAGTGCTAAGGCATGTGACTGGCTCCATCGTATCTGGGCGCTATTGATACGAGTCAAAAAAATCCACTGCTTAAAACTACATATTTTACATGTCCTCCAATCAGCGATAGGGTTAGAGTATGCATACAGCAGGTGAGGACAAGTTGATGTGTTGTCTTGTGGGAAGGGAGCTGCTGTGTTAGGTGAAATGACGGACCAAAACTAGCATTTTTCGTTTATAAGTGAGTTTATGAGACTGCCAGCAGATCGTGTATGTGAAAAGTACTCACCCTATTCCGTTTACGATGATGAAGGACTAAAAGGGGATTTTTCCCATAGTCGAGAAGCAAGGCTGTGTGAAATCCAATGCAACTATGAGATCTACTAATAGAAATGTGGAACAATTAAACTGCCACCCCTTCATCGTCCTAACGAAATAGGGTGCATACATCTTGTGCAAAAGCTGACATGTATTTCCCGGAACCGATTGGGTATGCCTCAAAGACTGCGTCAGCCTGAACGTCACCGCAAAACGAAGCCACAGTCATCCTCGTCCTGGGGTCATAGCAATTTATACATTTCTTTATCTCTCTCACATAGTCGTTAATTGACTTTCCACTCGCCAAGTATTTGTTACTCTTTGATACCAAGAGGGTATAAATGCTTACAAGTGTCCTGATAGGGGGGGTCGAAAGTACCAGATCTTGATTTTTCGAATTAAGTACTAGTAAATCAGTAATATGAGATGTATTCACCCAATTTCAGTTAAGGTGATAAAGGACTGGTAGAATAAGAGTTTTCACACAATGATATAAGTTGAACTGACGTTTCCATTAAATGTGTGAAATGAAATTGGGTGAATACACCTCATATAACCAGATCTTGAACAAGATGTTTTTTTGCCCTAAGTCGTAAAGGATAATAAAGAACTGGTAGTTTGCAAGTGAATACTTTGAAGGCTAGAATGTTTTAATCTGGGTCACGGTTACATTTTAAGAGACTGTCTTCCTCCTGTCTCTTAGCCTAAATGTACCTAATACACGGGGAAAATGAGCTTTAAAACATGTTCTCTAGAATGGCCCATTTTATAAGTGTTCCAAATGAGCCGAGTTGACACCTTCTTTTGCAATGTCTTTGAAGGATGGCCCCTCGATTCCGGTGCTTGCTCATCAGGCATCAGCAGAACCGAGAATCATCCTTCGAACTAATTCGATCTACCGGGCCAGGAAAACCCACCGTATATGTACACTCTAACCCTATCCATGTTTAAGGGTTAAAGGGGGGGTATGCACACAACAATTGGGGATCTGTTCGTGAGTAATACTGACACGTGGACTTAAATTAGTTGGTGTTGGTTTCCAGGTCGTATTGCAGATGAAGGCTTAAAATGTCATCTTCGGAAACAAGCGTTTTTGTTGCTTGAGGAATATGCTCTCGTCGTCTGGCTAGATCGTCCGATTCATCTCTTCTTTCCTCACTTTCGCCTAAAATGAGAGTGAGCTTAACAAGCCCAATTTGAGATACTGATCGAAAAACCACTTTTCTTTGCATATCTCTCCGCTGTCCTCTCCTGCTTTCGGGACTGGAGACGGGTGGTCCAAGTCTTTTAGGCGCCATGCGAAAATCGCTCAGCCAAAGTCTGTCTTCTCCTCTCTTTTCCCACATCCGCCCCCTTTCAATCGAGGCCGTCTCACCTCCAAGTCTGCCAGCCATCCGGGAACACGCCCTCGAGATGAAAGCCAAGAGTTGGCCCGGCGTTTTGTGCCCGCCAGGCCATCAGATTAACTTAATTATCCCGAATAAACAGGCCTACATGTGCCAGGCTCGCGAGAGGATTCATGCTGAATCCAATGACGGCGGCAATGTAGCAAGTCAAAAGTGTCTGTATGTCTGGTTGTTAGAGTGACTGTCGTGGCAGTACAATTGCACCGTCTGTCCCGCCGGTCCATCTTTGTCTGAAACCTCTTCTCTTCCGAGGCATTGCCGGACCGCGCTATGCACCTCCGCACAGAAAACTGTCCGCCAGAACATATTCACCATTTTTCGTGCATCCACACTCTTTGCATGAACTACCCACCAATCTGTTAGTGTGATATTTTCTGCCATTTCTATCATACTACTCGAAATGAATGGGCCCATATAGGCTTTTGGGGAAGGCTTGGCAAAGACTCCGAGCAAATTCGTGGGGACTTTCGGTTAGATTAAGTGAAGCATTTCTTCTTCCATGCCTCAGACTGAGTATTCCGGATATGAACCAACCAACGACAGAAATGGGTTGACCTCGTTGTCGCAACTTGGTCCTGTTGTCAGGGCGATTATGTAGAACGCACCTAGTCCGAAGTCGTCTGCCATAGCAGTTGTCATGATTCCCAGCATCTGACAGTGGACTTGGTACATTCTCAAACGTTTTGCCGGAATGTACCAAGTTCACTGTCAGATGCTGGGAATCATGACAACTGCTATGGCAGACGACTTCGGACTAGGTGCGTTCTACTAAGTTGCCCTAACAACAAGACCAAGTTGCAACAACGATTTCAACCCATTTCTACACATCGAAAAAAGACTGCGACCATACCAGAGGTCACAACATCTTGGTCTTCATATCTTTAACCAACGACAGTTCATTGTCATTCTATGAACCCCACTTTTCTCAGTCACCCGTCGGAACAAGCCGGTCCTGGAAATATACATTTAGTATACGAAGAAAAGTTGGGTTTCGAAGAATCTCTTGTTTCATAATTGTTGGGCTTACTTCCATTTCGAGTAGAAGTGTTTGGTAAAGAGATTCGAAGGTCGGTTTCACCAGAAGACGACGGCGAATTCCTCTTGACCAGCTGTCGATTGGCTTTCTGGAAGATTCATGCTGACGCGGTTTTCGAGGCAATCTCCCTCGATTCCGGTGAAAAGGTGCTAAGCTTTCGTCCGTCATATGACGGACATCGGGCAGATTCATGCTGACGCTGTTTCCGAGGTAATCTTCTTCGATTCCGGTGCAAACTTGCTTAGTTTCGTGCGGCATTCATGCTGACGCTGTTTCCGAGGCAATCTCCTTCGATTCCGGTAAACCCGTCCGTCATATGACGGACGAAAGCTCAACACGGGTTCACCGGAATCGAAGGAGATTGCCTCGGAAACAGC